AGACAGATGCTTCAATGTATAATTTCAGCACAAAATCTAATTTGGCCAGGATACAAGAAACTGAAAGCAGTTAAAGTGTTTCAGGCTTTAAAGAGAAGAAATTTGATATAGTGGTTGCTTTTCTAGAGTTCTGCTGTAAAGTCACACTTGTATAATTCATATTTAGGTTTATGTGAAGTAATTTTGCAATCTTATCCTGGAATGTCTGGCTGGAAGAGGGGTGATGCCTATATCACACCCATCCTCCCAGTAAGTTTCCTCACATAGGTAGCCCAGAAGAGTGAGAAATGGCAGTGCTGTCAGCAGTTCTGATGGCACTGCTGAGTGGAAGGGGTGCAAAGGAACAGATGTTCATTGCTGGTCATTGTCATACAACTTTCTGCTTCAACCTTTTTTTGCGGTTTTAGAGAAAGAGTAAGACTGTGTTAGGAGGAGGTTGAGCTTTTGTTTGTTTTCATACATTCTATTATTTCAGTACCAATTCATTTTCCCTGCCCATTACATTTTTTTTTTTTCTTCAAGAAAGAAGTAGAAATAGCTTTCCACAAGAAGATTCTTTCTAAAGAATTCTTTTCCTCTTATGTAAGAATAGGTTTGTCTAGCCTAGTGAACCCATCTCTTTTAAGGAAGAAAAATAGCATATTGAGTTATCCATTCTGGTTCTTTGCAGTTTTAGTTTTGAGTAAAACATTTCCCTTGCTAGTTTGCTAGCTTTTAAAACCCGTTGACTTCTTTTTTCATGTTATTCTATTTTTTCTTTTACTTTATTTTATCTTACTAGCCTTTTATATAGAAGATTAATATAAGTAGTCCCATTCTGACAGACCATATGGAATATAATTCTACTGTTTCAGAGGCAGCTGAAATCTCAGAATAACTCCAGTAACATTTATTAATTTTTATTGCTTTTGAGCTTTTGTTATAGCTTTAAGCTGCTTATTATTGCATATTATTTCAAGTAATACATTTATTAATTTTTATTGCTTTTGAGCTTTTGTTATAGCTAAGCTGCTTATTATTACATATTATTTCAAGTAAGATCTTCATAATGTCTTTTGGTGGAAGTTATTTCTATAATTTGAAAGTACTGCTTGTTTTGATGTAGTGTAGGATCAGAATAATAAAATGCTGTTTCCAGAAAACTGATTTCTTGCTAATGTAGTTCTGTGAAACTCAGTATGTGTGGGAAGAGATGCTGGCATACTCTAGATGTGATAGACTGCTGAATATAATTTGTTAAATGAAATTCATCCCTAATTTAGTAATACTACTTTGTTAAGAAGTGATATATTTTCTATGTGGAGATAATCCAAAATCTTGATAATCTGGTGTCGGTGCAAATTCTCATCCTTTCAGAGGTGCTAATTTATTTGTCTTGGGCAAATACTTCTGTAAGGGATTAGATTCTGTTTGCATGAATAGCTATTGCTTTCAGTTTTTGAAGATGTACTGTTGTAAGTAACATTCCATTGCTCTGCAGAGAATTTAACAACTAGTATTTCATAGCACAGAGATCCACCAATTTATTAATTTGGGCAATTATATATGTGCATTACATTTGCTCTTGTAAGTGGTAACTTTGTCATAGCAGATACTGTCTCTGAAGTAGTTTGGGGATTTACTGAAGTATGGTTCTAGAGAGTGCTCCTGCTATCAGATATCCACAAATGCCATATCTGACCACTAGGGAAAATGTGAATCTTTATCACTGCAGTATTATCACTGAGCATATTGATTCTTAGATGAGACTCAGAAGAAAGATAACAGATTACTTCAGTGTGAAAAGTATTCATTGTACTCTAGATCAGATGACACACTATTCTGTTTTCTAGGGTTGAATTGTTATGGAAGACTTTAGATATTGCCCATTTTCATCAAATAGTGACATCAGACAACTATTGGAGGCTTCTCTTGAAAGTCTGTTCTCCCCCACCCCCAGTGCACAATTTTTTAAAAATTTGTTTAATGTTGTATGTACTGTTAATTTATCCATCCTAAGTTCTATTTATGTCATTCCAGCACAGTTATAGTAGAGAATGGTTTTAGGTCTGGTATACACCCAGCATGTTCAGGTATTGACTGCTTCTTTTCAGTGTCTCTTTTCTAGCTTAGGGCCACGTGGAACATACTTGTAACTGCATCTATGTTTCTGAATTCATTTAAACAATAGGGCTCATACTTGACTCTCAGATAGGTGTAACCCAGACCAGAAAAAAAAAAGGTTATTCTGCCTGTTTAGGAGGGGTTTTCCTCATTCTGCTGTCTTTAACTGTTGGTTTTCATCTCTATGTAAATTTGTTTCCTTTGTTGCTAGAAGTTTTCATGCACACATTTCAGCATTCAGTAACTTTATTAAATAGGTTTGTGGTTAAGTTAAATAAAAATTCTAGCATAATGTGAATACAATGATAAGTATTGATAGCATCTGCCTAAAGCTGAGTAAGTGTAAGGGTTCTTAAATGCAACAAATGCATACCCAGAAATGCATTCTGTATTGTCATCAAATGCTTGATTGTATGTAAGATGTACAGACAATTTTTGCAAGCAGTTGAACTTCAGTCTCGCTCTGAAGATAGTCCGTACTGATTAATGTGTGACCTCTGTGGTTTGTTTCAGCAGCAATATTTGCTCACTGGCTTCTTACACAGGTCCTTCCCCACAAGAGACAAGTTCAGAGTCCCTTACTTATTTTAGGGCTCTGTCTGTATTACAATCTATTTAACCTGTAACTTCTTAATTTTTAGTGGGCTCTGCAGACCAGAGTATGTTGTTTCTTAGCTGATTATCACTCTTCAAACTTCTAGTCTTTATTGCAGTATTTCAGTATTTTTTCTTAAATGTTGAAGTGATTCCCTGAAGAAAGGCTTTTAGACCTAAAAGCTTATTTAGTTTCCCTTGCACTCCTTATTCCAACTCATAAATAGCTTCTAAAATGAGTGGTGTCCAAAACATTAAATTACTCTTCTATTGAATTTCTGCCACAGAAGATGGTTGTTCTAAGTGAAAAATGTCATTGTAATTGGTTATGCAATGTAAAGGAATAATAGTTAATTTTCAAGACAGTTTTTCCAAGAAAACTTCAGTGAAAAATTATATAATTGTTCACTTGTTAGGCCCTTGTGAATGTTGTTTTCTAGGTTTTAAACATAATTAAGGTGCTGTCATTTCACTGTATACTGATTTAAGTTTCCTGGTTTTGTAAATTTTTCTTCCCTCCTCCATAACCTGCAGACTGCTACCAGACAAAAACTTCTGACTAAGTCACACTTTTTTTACCACCTTGGTTTCTTCTCTGAAGATATTTACACAGTCTTTTTACTGTGTCTAAAATGCTTCAGCTGTCCCCAAAGGGAAATGGACACAGCAGGGGTTGTGTGTTTCCTACTGTGAGTAAAATAGGGTTGTTTTGGGCAAAAGAAAATCGGGGGAGATGAAGTGTACAAATCTGACAAAATACTGGCATTAGTATTCCAGCCATTCCTGAAACAACTTATTTGTATATTCTTTTACTTAGGACTGGTAAAGTAATTAAAAATTACGAGATTAGGGTACATTCTGATTGGCTCACTGTTAATATTTTGTTTAAATCTTTTCTTTAAATGTTTTTTTGGTTTTTTTGTTTAAATATATTTTGTATTTCTACCAAAGTTACTGAGCTAGTATTTTTATTGGATATGTTGTTCTTTTGCAAAAATTGGTCAAACTCTGTTTACTTTTGGTGCCTCCAGATGCATCAGTTAAAGGCATCTTTAGGAAAGGCAGCAATATGGATTAAGAGTACCATGCATTTTCAAGTGGTTGTCTTTGCCTTCTTCTTCTGTTCTTTGTTTGTCTTATTATGATAATAGTTCTCTGCTGTTTGTTAAATTCAGAAGTCCCACTGAATAAATGAAACCTGATTTGATTTAGTTATCTACATAATAGAATTTGTGATACTTCATGTTGCATCACTGGAAAAACATCTTCTGTTACTGAACTTCACTGCAATTAGACATAATTAATCTCTTCTCCTCTTAGGCAGCTCAGTTTGTATTTTGAATTGGCAACTTAATGGTGAATTAATTTTCTGTTCTTACCAGTATGAAATCCTAACTAGGTTGAAAGTAAAGACAATTTTCAGTAATCTAAATATAAAAACTGTGTAGAATGAAGAATATGGAGGAACCTGTCAGCTTGTGTTTTACATCATAAAGTTTTGAATTGTCAAGATGGAAATAAGGTCACTTGTATGAAGTCAGTAGAATATGAAGAAAGCTTCAATAACCACTATTCTTTAGTGAATTATGGTGCCTTCATAGTACTAGATGTTTTTAAATTAAATGTGATTTTTGGTGTATTTTTTCAAGTAGTAACTTGGTCATTGGCACAGATGCCCAAATTGGAGATGACTGAAAGCATTGTTTAACTTTTGGATCTATAGATGTATTTTGTCTTTCAATATCCAAAATATTTCACTTCCACTACAAAAGAGGTGCTATACATTGTTTTTCTTGGATGAAGTAGAGGTTTAATGTGAACTCTAGAAAGCATTTTAGTCCCATTGTATTGATGCAGGTTATTCAGGAATTTGGAGCCAATATAGGTTTAGAGGTCTGCTCAGTTAATTAAAATTAAACAGCAGAGTTTTTCACTGTATATACAATTATAAAATACAGTGCATTTCATAATTCATTAGTTGTAGTACTGCCTTTCACTACTTGTTTTCTTATGTCTCTTCAAATACCTTCTAAAATTCGAACACTCTAACATGACTCCTGTGAATTCATTTGCTTGCACATTCAGTGTGATACAGTGAATCACTTATAAACTACCAAGGAAGACATTTTACATTTGAAACCTAAATTAACATTTCACATACTTAATTACTTCACAGCATATTGATCTTTCTTTGGTAGGATCTTCTTTAAAAAGCTGTTGCTGTGTATATGTCCTGTTGCCTTCTTCATTTTCAGTGTGGTAATTTAAATGTTTTATTGATACCTTTGTCTTTTTCTCAACAGTTTTCAAAATCTGGTTAATGTGATGGCATAAACTAGTAAAGCTTTGGATTACATGATGGATATCAGCAATGGTGATTGATATTATTTGAGTGGTACAGTAAGAGTCTGCTGTATGAAATGCCAGAAGTTTACATTTCTTCTAGTTTTGCAATGGTAAGTTTTTTTTACATTTGTACTAAGGAAATAATAACTTTATTTCTTGTCATGTAAGGTGTATTTCTTTAGAAAGTATCATATCAGCAAATCAGTAAAGATTTCTCTCTTACGTATGGTTTCTAAAGTCAGTTGAATTCAGAAGTAATTACTAACCAAAGAAAACATTTGAATTTGGTTTAGGTTATTTTATTGGTACTGATTTGAAATGTCAGTTACTCACCCCTAATGTGTGCTAGCTTTAGTTAGAGCAACCTAGAGGAAATGGAATATGTAAATAAACCCTGTTTTTCATGTTTGGGTTCAACCCCAAATGGGATCACTCTCCAGATGGTATTAAGCTTGCAAGCAAAGAGGGAGAATATGCAGGCAAGTCTATCCATGTGGAAAATAGGTGTAAAAACCATTATAGAAAACACACAGTATTTTGCTCTGTTCAGTCAGCTGCTGATGTTAGACCATTTGCTGCTTGACATATTATTTATATTTTCTCTTAAGGCAGAGTGTGTTGGAGGGCTCACACTTATTTACTTTTTAGTGGACAGAATGAAAGTTAGTGCTGCAGCATCTCTTTAGATATATTTTCAAGAATACAAACAGTGCATCTTTCCAGGCATTCATCTAAGGCAACAGGAATAGCTAACAAGCAGGAGGGTTGTAGCAGCAAAATAAATCGCAGTTTTGAGAACATTTGAAATTTTCAGTTTATAATTTTTTTTTGTTGGTTGCACAGAATGATGTGCTGTCATACACAGTTGTGTGTGAGCTATCCCACATGTACACAAAATTAATGTGCTTTCTTCTACAGTTTTGTCCTGAACTACACCAAGCAATGCTGTTAGGATACATTGCTTTCCTTAAGAAATGCTGCTTGCATTGTGAATTCCTAAACACACAATACAGTAAATACTGGTAATTGTTAAACAGAATTGTATTAGATGAGAGTGTACTTGTCTTGTCCCATTCTCTTTTCTGTTCTAGGACCATCTGACACTTAAATAGTAGATTTGGGAGAATTGATGAATTTATGTTCTTATTTTCCCCTTATTTGCTGAAAATGAAAAATGCCTCTTGAAACAATTTTCTCCATTTGTTATTTTCAGCATTTCTAAGTAATGTGCGGAAGGTTTGATTCCGTATTTAAAATTTGTAGTCTTCACATCATATGGCAGTTGAAAGGATTCATAATCTGGAGTTTGGGTAGATGAAAAAGGGAAGGTGTGCCATTATACTCAAATGTGAATCTATTCATTAGCAAAGCTGTTATGACAGGTCTGTGGTGATATGGAGTTTGACACATTGAACTTTTAAAGATGAAATGAATAGAAGGGTAAGATTGAACTGAGTTCTCTTAAAAATTACTTTGAGATACTGGGCAGGTCAAGTACTCCTGCATTTCACCCTGAAATGTGAAATACAGGCACTCTGAAATGGGATGTTTTAAACTTTGAGTCTGACTACTTAAATCTGATCTGAGTGGTGATCCATCTCACCAGCTGAGAGGGAAAGAACCTTCTAGTACCTCAGATGAGACTCCCAACAAAGTGAGACTTTTGTTGTCATAAGTGATACAGAAGTAGGAGAGGCCCCACCTGCACATAAGAAAAAATATTTTTGCTTTAAGGGCTGGAACAGGTTGCCCAGAGAAGTTGTGGAATATCTGTACTCAGTGTTTTTCAAGACCCAGCTGTATAATGTTCCATGTAGCTAAATCTGAATTTAGGCCTTATGTTCATTTGAATGGGAGGTTAGATAGCATTGCCTCCCAGAGGCCTTTTCAGCTGGACTGATTTTGATTTGGATTCGGAGATTTTCTTTTATTTCATTTTTACTAATAATAGCTGTAAGTATTTTTTATTCGTGTGCTTTATTTTTTTAATTCCCTACTAAGTTAGAATTGCAGTTCTGTTTTGTTATTTGAGAGATTTGTTTTTTTCTTTAAGCAACAACTGAGTGAGCAAATGCAATTTTAATAGTTTACTTCTTAGTCTGTGAAACCATGTAAGTGGAAACTGGGATATTAAAAGTGCAGTCTCATACCTTTTACTTGAACAGAAAAATTGAAATAATTATACCAATAAGTTATAATATATGTACAATACATAAAAATAGTGTATTTTAGTAACTAGAGCCTAACTGGGACATTCCAGCCTTACATAAGGCATAAATATGAGCAATACTCACACAAGTACTAAAGCCAGAACAAACCACAAATACCAAGTCAGCTACTTCGTAGCTGAGATGGAAAAATTTAATGCACTAAAGAAATGCCACAGAAAGAAGCAGTATGAATACATTGAATGGGCTTATTCGGTTTTACACTGGTACGTTTGTGACAATACATTCTTCAGATTTCCTCTGTCTCTAAGTGTTTTCTAAATATTTTTTCTGACTGTTTTGTTTACATTTTCCTCCAAGGTTTCCCAGTGAGTGGATCACAATGAACATACTTTAGGGACTTGCCATAGTATGGCTGCTTCTCGATCTACTCGTGTTACAAGATCTACAGTGGGTTTAAATGGTTTGGATGAAAATTTTTGTGGTAGAACATTAAGGAACCGTAGTATTGCTCATCCGGAGGAAGTCTCAGCCCATCCTCAAATCCGATCCAGGTCACCAAAGAAGAGGCCAGAGGCTGTGCAGACTCAGAAGGGCAGCAACGGTGGCAGAACTACTGATTTGAAACAGCAGAGTGCTCGGGAGTCATGGGTGAGCCCTAGAAAGAGAGGGCTATCCACTTCAGAGAAAGATAATGGTGATAAACAAACTGTGGAAAATAGTGAAAAAAAACAAGCAGAACCTGTTTCACCAGTTTTGAAAAGAATTAAACGCTGTCTTCGTTCAGAGGCACCCAACAGTTCTGAAGAAGACTTGCCCACTAAGGCAGAGAAGGAGCCATTGGAGCATAAAAGCTTAGTGGACAATGATGCAGCCTCCACGGGGACTAAGCGAGCTTGTCGATGTCTTATATTGGATGATTGTGAGAAAAGGGAAGTTAAAAAGGTGAATGTCTGTACAGAAGGGTTTAATAATTCTGCAGTAGTTGAAGAGGTTGCAGGTTATCAGACTGTCAATGGAGTTGGTGAGAGAGACTCAAATTCTCTTAACTGTGATGACTGTCAGGTGGATGGGAATGCTAAGCAGAACAGTGCTGGTTCCCATACGCCCAAGGACAAAACAGTAGCAGAAAATGGAAACTCATTTGCCCATTCTTCGTTGCTGCTTAATAGCAGCAAAGAGGACAGTGTTGTAGACCATTATGTGCCTTGCACAAACTCTCAAGAACAGGTAAAGTTAGAGGACCACAAACCAATAAATGACTGCTTGCCTGAGGAGAATGCTAATCAGGCATTTGAGCCAGCTACAGGGTCCTTTTCTGAAATCCAGTCATCTTTGTTAAGGGATTCGGAGGAGGAGCTGGATGTTGTAGGAGATAGCAGTGCCTCTAAGGAACAGTGTGCTGAAAACACCAATAGCAACCTGAATACTCACCATGACAGTGCATCAATCTCAGGTGAACCTGAACCACATTCTTCAGTGCTGAACTGTGTTTCGGCTCAGATGACAAATATGTTGGAACTTCAAGAACACAGATACACGCTGAGAACTTCACCACGAAGGGCTGCCCCTGCCAGAAGTAGCCCTACTAAAAATAACTCTCCTTGCAGAGAAAATGGACAGGTTGAGGAAAATAATCTTAGTCCTACTGAAAAGAATGTACCTGTAGGTATTAATAATATCAATGGATCTCCCAAAAAGTCTGAAGAAATCAAACAGAATGAAAAAGAGAGAAATAGTAATACAGGGGATCATGGGAGTGATGGACTAAGAAAGCCTGAGTCTAGGCTTGTTGCTGGATTTGTACCATCTGCCAAAGAGAGTGCCAACATCCACACTGCAGAGGAGGATGAGGAAGAGCCCGATGTGTATTACTTTGAATCAGATCATGTGGCATTGAAACACAACAAAGAGTATGTGTAACTATGGTAACCATGAATTCTGCTTTTGTTTCTTACCAAAAATATAATGTTATTACAAAAATTAAGTATTTAACATACTTCCACAAAAATTTAAGTTTATAATTAACTTTATAATTTTCATACTCTTCAGTCTTCATTTTTCTTGTTTCTGCCTCAAACAAAATTAAACTCTAATATGCAGTATGGTACAGCAATGTGGTTTATACATTTCTAGCAATCAGGATTCTTGAGCCAGAACTTGTTTTTTCTGAGTTTCTTTGGGTATTTGTTTCTTTAAAAATGCATCTGTTATTTATTTTCTCTTAAAAACTAGCTGGAAGAAAAACCAAAGGAATCATAACCTTGAATTAGATTTCAGACATTTATCAGCATATCCAGTAGACACTGCAGATACAGCTTACACAATTATCATTCTACTGTACATAAAAGTTAAAGTTAGATGCTTTTTTCAGTGTCATGGGAAACAACTCAGCATTATTGTGTTCAGGAAGATGAATTTAACAAATGCAGCAACTTTCTCCAAAGTAAATTATGTCTACATTGCTATTTATATTAATTACGTGTAAATATAGGAATATTATTGTTATTATTATTATTATGCTCTGAGTAATTTTAATGTTTATTATCTGAATGTCTGTAAGTAGAACTGTGGTAACTATACCTTGTGGTAAATGTGCAAGAGCTTTTGAAACAAAAGGGCGATTCACTGAACAAAGTTTACATGGAGAAAATTTGTCTTCAGGTAGTAGATCAGGACACAGTTTTTTATTTCAGTCTTTGTAATGCTGTTTTGACTCCTGTGTTTTGCTGTTTAGTAGGTGTTCTGTATTTTGTTGTGAGTTCTGAAAGCCAAGTGCAGATGATCTTCAGTTTGCTTCATATGAAGGGTTGAAGCACTGGCAGTAGTTCAGTGTAAATGTAGTAAAAGTTCACAGCTCAGTTATTGTGAATCTGGGGCACAAGGTATAGATGATTGTTTAATCTAATATGACTGGATTTTTGATATTAGAGTTGCATTGTTTATATAGTAAAATTTTGTTCAGTATTGGATATGAATAAATCATTTTAATCAGAAAATTTTGAATTTGAGCATGGGTTAGACAAACTGTGATTTCAAAATAATGATTAAATATTTGCATCTTCAACCATCAGTCCAAAGTGGACACTTTCCCAGAAGATAGAGAGAAAATTACAAATGGGGAAAATGGACTGTTGTCTTTTGACTTTCTTAGGATGATTTTGGATCAGTATGAAGTATGACTTGATCTGACGCTAGTACACAGATTCATTAGTAATGTGGTTTGATGTAAGGAGTCATATTTATTATAAATACTACAAAAATAATAGTAGTTTTTTCTATTCTTAAACACAGATCTAAATTGTCCTTGGAAGCTTCAGGTGTGTGCCCTAATGCTAACTTTTGAACATACAGAGTTCTAAAGAAATGAGTAGTTGTTCAGATTGGCAGCCTGTTTGTGAGACCTTGTTGGGGAGCTTTTGAAACTGCAGTAGGACTTGGTAGCTTGCAACTAACTTGTTGCCTGAATGCAGAAAGAATTCCAAAAGAAGTGGTTATTGTTTTTATTCTGTCTCACATTTCTACTTTCCCAAAGGGAAGCATGCTACTGGGGTGAGGGAGTGTTAACCTTGTCTTTTCTTCATTTAAAAAAAATTTGATAGAACCGGTAAACTACAGCCATCCTTTTTTGTTATTTACATTTATAAGAAAATAAGTCTGGTATAGTGACATATGAGTGCAGTTGGTATTTGTCCAGAATTTCATGCTTCAAGAGTAAATCAAGTGCAGTGCATTATATCCTTTATCCAGTTTAAAAAATAGCAAAGTTCATTAGAGGATGCTCTTAATTCATGTGTAACAGTTTTTGAATAGTGTCTTAATTATACCCATGTTTAATAATTTGGTACTTACTTTCTAAAGTATTAAACTAAAAAAAAACCCAAAAAACAAACTCTGCCAGTTTATCTGAAATGTTATTCCCTGGTGGGTCAGATGCAAAGAATTCCAGAGTTCCCAGGCTATTAATGCAGGTTCAGCTGGAGGTAAAGCATATTCACTTTGCTTGTGGTAGTTCTGGCTAAGCCAAGTGTTCTGGTGTTCTGCATGTCACATCTTCAAATGGTACAGTTCTGTTTTTCTGCCCTTCATCAGTTTGGGATTATTATGGGTGATTTTTTCTCTGGTTTACATTTCTGTTCTCTTTAAAAGTCAGTTCAGGCATTAGCATCTTGGCTAGGTTGAGGAGGCAGGATGGCATTAGTATAAATCTTTGTATGTTCCATGGCAGAAAAAAAAATACATTCCTGGGTGTCACAGAAGCTATTTAATATGGCTGTAAATTTATATTATTTCTTGTTGCATTACATAGCTTGGTGACATGTGTATTCATACAGTTGGTTTTCACTCTCCAACAAATTATTGTGACATTGGTAAAATATGAATATACTGAAACCTTTAAGAGCTGTTGATGAGACTTGCTATAAGAAAAAAACCCCTAAATGCAAATTGTCATATTTCTGTATGAATTTTGTTGGTTTTTTGAATCTTAACAAGTTTAAGAAATGTTCGTGTATTAATATTTCTGGGGAAACTGAATGACGTAATAGGAAAAATAACTATCACTATATGGAATATTATTATTCAGAGAGAAGGCTGAAATGATGGATGTTCCCACAACTTCTTTATCAAACTAGATCTGTCCTACAAAGAGATGAGATCTCTAAGCAGAAATTTTATCACAACATAGACATTTTTGTAGATAACAGACTGATCTGGGGGTTGTATAGTTGTGAAGTGTTGTTGATGTTGTCTGTTGCTACACACATAATGGGAATTTTTGGGTATTTGAACTGCTCTCAGAAAAGTATGGTTTAGTGTATATTTGAGGATTTTGCTTCTACTCAGAAATGTTTGTGTTTTCTCCTGAGATTTTTCATCACGACTGAACTTCCTGGTGTAAAACTTTCTACATGCTGAATTTTATATGCTGTGCTTAGTGTTTTGCATATGTCTTTCCTCAGGCATTTCTCGTATCTCTTTGCTGTATCTTTTTATGCTGTAATTCTATCTCATACTGCAGTAGCTTACTTGAATTTTCTGTCTGGTGCAGCATTTTATTCTCAGTACTTTCTGCCTTTGCCCGGTGTTTCATTTAGTGCCCTTTTTTGGTTTTGTTTTTATTCTTCTTCCTCTCTATTTCCTTTGGAGATTTGTAATGTTTGGCAGGTGTTAGATTGCACAAAGGCACAATCTGTGTTTGACTCTTAGTCCTGGGTTCTAGATGAAAATGTGATTGAAGAATTGAGGTGTCACATACATGTAATGTGTTACAGAATGCATTTCTAGGACTATGAGCTGCAGTTGGCCTTACAGGAACCACTTAGACTTGCAGCAAGATCACTGAATAGAAGCCTTAGGCACGAGCAATTCCTACAGGCATTTAATTCTGAGAGTTAGGACCTTGTTCAGTAGATAGGTATTTTCATGTATCTTTATTGCTTGATAATACTTAAAATTACAACAGCTGCACTGGTATTTAAAGTGAAGACAGATCAAATAAGGATTTTAGTACAGCTCTTAAAACCCAGTCTTGTGGATTCTTACCTGCAATGGGTTGTACTATTGCAGAGATCTTGGAAACATAGATGACAGTGCAGGATCATGCAACAATCAGATTTACATATGCTTAACAATTGATGATAGTACTGTTTGTCTTTGGATCCACCTTTAATGTTGTGTGAATGTGAGAAAGAATAACATTTTTAGCCTTTCTTATGGCATAGGTTCTATATTTTATTCAGTCACAAATTTTCTGCCTACAGAATCAAATTAAAGCAGTTCTGTATAAAAGTTCATCTTACTGCACTTGAATTGTAAGAATGGGAATTGGTGTACCTTGCCATACCAGTTATTTGAGAACACAGTCTTCTTAAAGTGTGACTGCAATGTCCTCTTTCTAACTTTCTAATATTCTAACTTTACCTGCACCATGTTTTTTCCTTAACTGGAAAAGATAAAAATATTTATGTCTGTCTGCAAATATATTAGCTAATAATAATAGATCAGTTTTATAAATAAAACCTGTATGGTCTGAGGTTGTTTCGTCATAAGGAATAAAGGGAATTGGTGTAAATCAAGTTACATTTCATAGTAGTAGTTTTAATCCATGCCCCTGAGTAATTTGTAGAATATATCACTAATATAAAAGAATTGATGAAGTATACAATTTTAGTGAAGATAAAGAGAAGTTAATAATTTTAGAAAACCGAGCATAAATGCCACATGTATTGGATTAGAATGATTGAATTCATCCTATGTTCCACAAAACTGGTGTGGCATACAGTGATACTTTTCTTAAATTACCTATTAATGTAAAACTAAAGCATGAAAAGTCAGTGTTTTTACAGAGAGTAGTTTCTATTGTCTGGTAAATTGGTCTGTCTTCTAAGTAGCCAAAACCAAGATTGGCTTTAAGTAAAATTATGTAGAAGTTGGATGCAGCAGGTAGTTGATCCACAAAATAGAAATACAATGGAAATCAATTTGAAACTTGTAATAGGACTTTCTGATCAACTTCAGTTTGCTTTTGCAGGTAATTGTATTCTTAAAATCTGACAGTACAACAGGCATGCAACCACATTTATTTATGAAATCCTTGTATTTTACAACAGCTCAACATATGAAGTATTTTGAGAAATTTTTACTGCCAGCATTATTGTTTTATCATGTTCTATAAGACAATTTCTGTCTATACATATTGTCAAAGGAAAAGCAATGTGACACAAAATTTTTGCAGGACTAAAGATTAAGGTTTGATTAAGAATATTGCAATCACAAAATCATATTTTTTAATTACATAAACTCTTCAGTAAAGACTTGAGCTCTTACTTTGCAAGAGGTGATGCCTTGGGCATGTGCTGCATCAGCTTTTTGCTCCCTAGGAATGGGCACGCTCTGGGAGCCATTAAATGTC